GTCCAGTGTAGAGCTGTTGCGGCGCGACGCAACAACTGTAGCGTCCGGTATAGACACCGTGAGTGAAGCCGAGAGCAAGATATGCCTCGGCATATTTTCTGCATTTAGCTTTTAAATGACCAGCACCTGCCTGGGTCTGTGCAACTTCGTCTATGGCGTTTCTCTTCCCTTTCACAAACCGATCCATCTCCCATTCTAAGTTAGGACGTCTCCCTATGCTTTCTCTCGCCGTACTTTGATGTCATACACCGATCGATCTTCAAGTCGAACACACCTCTTTACTCTCGCGTGTCACGTGACCGAGTGTAATTGCAGCCTCTGCGATTGAAAAATCATGTTTTTTCATATCGCGATATTATCGCAAATGCAATTAATCGTTCAGCCCTAGTAAGGACACAGTTGTTGCAAGGTAAATGTAATCACGTTTGATGTCATAGTAGTGTTATACTGTCTTTTTGTATTGGCAAACCCCCGATTTCATGTTTTGGATGTATCCTTCAATGGCATTCAGGAGACTTTTAGTGAGAGTTACTATAGGATGAAATGTTATTATTGAATGCTTACACGTAGAGTATTGTAAGCATAGCATATGCTTTCAGGTATCGAAGCTATGTCTTTATCACTGTTTATGCACTAACATTATTAGTAGGGCTGGGTTTTGACACAAATTTCTTGATTCGATTGGATTACTGATTCGATTCAATATCGATTATTTTGGATATATATCAGGTACAGTACATGCCAAATTTTCTCAAGGAAAAAAAAAATCTCTCAATTAATGCTGTAAAATATACATGAGAATCAGTTGGTACTACAATACTATAACATTGAAGGTTAAAATGTACTGATTTGTTAATTACACTTAATGAAGTTTTTACAAAGTTACAATTACATAATAATATTTCTACTTCAGTTCGTTTTTTTTAAATATAAACATAATGGTGACTGTCATAAACTTAATGGATTTATTCAAACATAAATTAAACATTGAAGAAAAGTAAAATTTATAATGAATATGTTATATGGTGCATATATTTAGCACCATGCCCCTCTCTACAGTTTACTTTTCTATCTGACTAATGAGTTTATGGTCACCAAATATGTTTTTCTGAGGTAAATGTGACGTTACGTGACATTGTTTACAAGACGTTATATTGACGTATTTGCGCGGCTGATACTGCACTACAATGGAAAGAATTTGAAATATGAGACTTTTTCATATTAAAAGTACCAAAGCACAATGCTTATTGCGATATATTGGATGGGAAGTGCCCTTCAACGTTCTGTCCATTAACTGAAAACAGGCTAGACTAAACGATTCTTGGGATTTTAAGAATCGATATCGTTCCGTGAAAATGAGAATCGATTAATATCGAGATATCGATATTTTTTTACCCAGCCCTAATTATTAGTATTGATATATGATTATAATATTAACACAGGGTGTTAATTACAATTACAATTAAAATCAGAGTCACAGAATTATAGAAGTAAATTGTAATTACAGGATAAGGCAAACTATGATATGATTGTTTTTTTGTTTAGTGTATCTCATTTTCTTCATCACTGTAAGGTGGAGGTGTTCAACATGTTCAGCTCCAGCATGCACTAGAAATGCAAGCATGAAATTTATTACAGTTTTGCAGTTATTCAATAAGTGTGAAACTTGGGGCTCTATGATTTCCACGATGTGGAAAATGCGGACAGAATTGCGGAATCCAGTCGTCATAACTTAATTTACTATATAACATGGAATGTCACGGAATTTGGCAAATTTTGGATGAATTAATCAAAAGTAGGTCAGTTCACTTAAATCAGATCATGATATGGGCTAGTGTCTGTGAATGTTAAGCTGCAAAAAGACTTTTAAATATGAATCCTGTTAGGGCTGCACGATAAATCGAAATGGAATCGAAATCGCAATTCGACAGAAGCTGCGATTGTCATGCGTATCTTTCAGTGACGCACGGTTCTGTGATCAGCAGTAAATCTCCATCCAAAGGCCAGAGGGCGCTCTCGCGCTGAAACGCCAAATACGCCTCGCAGAAGAAACCCAGAAAATG